AAGCCCCCGAGCTCGAGCCCAAGTGTTAAGGCTCGAGTATCGCAACAAAGAAGAGAAGAAAAGTCAATAAGGCCCAAATGCTCGAGCCTTGTACCTTGGTGCTCGAGCCTTACCATAAGGTGCTCGAGCCTTAACCAAGGGTGCTTAAGCCTTAACCCTTAAGCTCGAGCATGTGGCATCGAAAATTAAAGAGTTGATTTTAATTGAAGGCAATGCTCCCAGGTCTCATGCCTCACCTCCAGGATCAAGCACCATCCATTAAGGATAGAGCATTATTCACTGATGCTTGAGCCTTGAGTCCCAAATGCTCGAGCCTGGTACTTGGTGCTCGAGCCCATAAAGCTTGGATCGAGCAATGGTAAAAGAGTTCAACCCCAAAAGTATTCTAAGTGTTGAAGAAAAAGACGCTTCAAAAAATAGTTGAAGAAAATTGGCTAAGTGTCAAAGTGAAGATCGAGCACCATTTATTGAAGCTCGAGCATCCATCCAGAGAGGCTCGAGCCTTGTTCCTTATGCTCGAGCATGAACCCTAAAGCTCAAGCCTCTATTCCTGAAGCTCGAGCCTTCCATGATATGTCAGATTAAAAGTTGCAGGATTGCTCTCTTTACCATTTGTATCTCATCTTGGGGACCATGTAAAATAATTATTTTTCATCTTGGGGACCATTTTGCAATATAATTTGTAAGATATTTTTGAAAAGGACCTTTTTGTAATTTTTGGAAAGTGTGACAAGTGTCACACTCTCACGGAGCCACTTGTTGGCATTTGGGTAGGGAGACTTGGAAGTATGATCTTGTGACATTTAGAGGGTGGAGATACACCTATTTGTTGGCCTAAGATTGGTGCACTTGTAGGATTCGATGGTTGACAAGTGTAGGCTTAAGATTAAGCCTAGGAAGGAGCCATGGATTATTGACAAGTGTAGGTTCCAAATTATGTCTTGCATTAGTGTGTGTGTGTGAGAGGTAGTGTACGAGCACATAATGAGGGGAGGAATACTAGATCCTCCACTCACCATATTTCATTTCATTTTCTTCACTCTCATTACTCTCAAGAACCCTAACCTAGCCACCATTGGAGAAAAGCTTGGTTTATAGCTTATTTCTTCATTTTGGCCTCCTTCCACTCATTTTAGACCATTAACCTTGGGAGACAAAAGTTTCCTCTCACTCTCATCTTCTAAACCCTAGTTTTGTTTTCCATTTTTAAGCTTGGTTGCTTTGGATTACAGAGATTCAATTTTCTATTGAGGTAGGGGTGGTAGTATATTTATATTTTGAGTGTTTTAAGTCCTTTGGGGTTTAATATATATTGTGTACATGCTTTTAATATGATAGTTTTGCATATTATAGGAAACCCTCACTTTTAACTTAGGGTTTATTGATTTAAGCATGTATAATATGTAAATACCTTGTGTAGAAGAATTATATGATTTAGTAGTATGCCAATTTCTAGTAGAATTGTTAATATTATATACAATTCATTTTGACTTGAATTGTTATATTTATGGTGGTGATAATTCTATATTCTTGTTGTAGACTAATTGTGGTTATTTTAGAAGCTTATTGCTAAATTGTTAAGGATTAGTTTATAAAGCTCATTGGAACCTTAAGTTGGTGATATTGTTTTGCACATTATATCATGAGGAGGACTTGTCATTTATTATGCTATTCTAGACTTGGAACCCTAAGACATGGTTTGTGTGGATTCAAAATACTTGTGCATGGAAGGTGGTATATATGCCTTAATACTTGTGTATAAGTTTTGAACTTGATATATTTTGGATTCTCTTGGGACATTGTTACAAGTGACATGGCTAGAGTTTGGTTCTAGTGTGGGAGGTATGAGTTCTCCCCATTTATAGTGCGCACTACGGTGGTATTCCCAGCGAGTTAATTCCAAGAATAACCGTTTAGGTCTTCCCTTTGTCTGAGATTTGATGTCTAAGTATTCCATTATTTGATTTCACATTCAATTCCAAGTTGACAACCAATGTTTAATTGTAACTTGTGATTGTGATTATTGGCGATTTGATATTGTTATTGTGTTGTTATAGAATCATTCATGTTAGCGTAAGATGATTCCTTAGAACACATCAAACATAGATGTTAAGTGGAATGCTCCCTTGTATTCGTCTATATTGATCTTACAATGATATTCAAACTTTAGGGTATACGCATATGCTTCTTCCTACGAGTAACTTGTTTACTCACCCTAGTTGTTTGGGTTATTTTACAGGTAAGGAGACAATGTTTGTGGATGCTCATCACCCTTAGGGACTCATGAACAACTTGAAGCATTTTTGTATATTGACATGCAAATGTTTAGCATGCTTTACTTTTGATGATATATTTTTGTATGCCATGGGTGTATGCTATTTTCGAAGCTAATGTGGCTTCCTTAATGTGTTATGGTACTTAAGTACTTGCTTTGACACTGTTATCATGTATGTAATGAGGCTAAGGGCTAAGCATGTTTACTTTAGTACTTGTACTCATTTAGTACCATATCTTACTTTAAAAATGTATCTTAACCAATTTTGGAGGTTTGGCATATGAAATTCTTGTAATTGACATGTATAAGGTCGTGGGCCATTGTAATACATTCAAATATTTATATTACGTTTGTTGACATGTTCACATGCTCACATCTCCTTGAAAATTAGCTTTTAACCTTTGTTTTTAAACCAATTCATGATGTGATTTGAGGCTTGGGTTAAACCTAAATGTTTTTGGTGTATATTAGGTCCTATAGCACTTTCTCGAGTCATTTTAGTAGACCAAAATGCCATTTCGGTCGACCGATGGCTTTTGGGAACTTCATTAAACAGTAAAACGCACATTCTAGTACCCAAAATTACTGTTTGGGTCCATTTCGGTCGACCGATGCTTCATTTCGGTCTACCAAAGTGACCTCCCCTCAAAAATCAGCTTTCAGGAAAAATTTTGTTCATTTTGGTCGACCTAAATAGCTCTCATGCACTAGCCTTCCAGATTTTGTTTCAGCATTGTCGTTCCGACTTCAAACGGTCATAACTTTTTCATTTCTAATCCAAAAGGGGTGATTCTTAAGCCTAAACTCAAGGATTTTGAGTCAGATTTTCAATGGTACCAAATCCATTCTCAGATTCAAATCATAGTGGGAGTAATTCATGTTTTAATGCACAGTGTCAGATTTTGTTTAAACCGGGAATGGGTGTTTTGTGGGATTATTGGCCAAAGTCCTTAGAACCTCTTAGAATGTTGTGAAATGATTAGTTTAGGTTGTATAGACCTCATTTGACTTACTTGGAGTCAAATTTCTCTTCTTATTTGTAAATTAACCATTTTGCCCTTAATTAACAAATTTTGCCCATTTTAACTCTAGTTTCCTCTTTCGCTCTCTTTAAGTTCCGTGACTTCATGGAAGGTCACATTGGTGTCTTAGGGATGACTTTTATCTCTGAAGAATATGGTTTTATCTTTTGCTTCCGCATTTTGGATCCGTTACCGGGTTATCTTTTGGTCATCACTGATGCAATGGGTTTACAAAACTTGGGCCATCACACTTCCTAGGTTTCCTAGTCCATCAAAGAGGTATTGAGATAGACCAAAATAAAGCAAAGGCAATTATTGAACCAAAGCCTCTGGCACTAAGAAAGAATTACAATGGTTTCTTGGCTAGGTTGGATACTTAAGGAGGTTCATTGCCAACCATACTGGAAAGACTCATGTTTTTTCTCCATTGCTATAATTGAAAAGGACTAAAGAATTTAAGTGGAAAGATCAGTACCAACAAGCTTTTGAAGGTTTGAAAAGCTACTTGGCCAACCCTCTAGTGATGATGCCTCCAATCAAGAAGCGGCCTTTAAGGTTATACTTATTGGTCATTGATGAATCAATCGGAACCATCCTAGCTCAGAACAATGACTAGGGGAAGGAACAAGCCATTTATTGTCTAAGTAGGGTGCTCACTCCAGTAGAATGTAGGTACACTTCTATTAAAAAGTTGTCTTTCCTTATATTATGCCGCTATGAAGTTGAGAACCTATATGTTGCCAGTGGCCGTATATATCATTTCTCAAACAGATTTGATTAAGTATATGCTTTCAAGGCCTTTAATCATTGAATGCATTGGAAAGTGGTTATTGGCCTTAATAGAGTTTTCTTTCAAATATATTCCATAAAAGGGAGTCAAAGGAAGGGCAGTGGCAGAATTTCTAGCAAGTCATCCTTCCACTAAGATTGATTCAGAAGTATGTGACGAGGTGGATAATCTCTACCTTGACTATACACCTTGGACTCTCATGTTTGATGGATTAAGCACTCGTGATGGAGGAGGAGCTGGAATAGTCATCATTTCACCAAAGAGAAGGAAAACCACATTTTCTTTCTTCTTGGATTTCAAGTATACAAACAACCAAGCTGAGTATGAGGCACTAATTATTGGGGTGGAAATCCTACTAGAACTAAAGGTGGATAAGGTCCATATTATTGGAGATTCTAACTTGATACTTAGCCAACTTTCTGAAGAATATAGATGTCTCAATTGGCATTTGGGGCCGTTCAACTCCATGGCCTTGGAATTGCTATGCCAATTTGATGATTTCCAACTCAAATATTGGCCAAGGCATTTAAATACAGAGGCTGATGATCTAGCACAATTAGCCTTTCGAGTGAAAGTTTCACTCGGTGTAGAAGAGACATTGATCATAATCAAAAGAAGGACTCTCCATTCTGTAGAGTCATGACATGACAAGTCATTTCCAAACTGACGAGCCAGAAAAGATCAAGCCTGCCAAAAGGACATGGGAGATTTTCAATGTTGATATAGATGGATTAGACTTGGAAGATTGGAGAACACCAATTATCCAATTCTTGTAGGAGCCTAGTACCAATGTGGATAAGAGGGTTTAGCTTTTGGCACCACATTACGTTCTGATTGATGGGGAGCTCTATAAAAAGAATAAAGAAGATGGACTTTTCTAAGATGCCTTGGCAAGAATGAGTCCATGAAAGTGATGGGAGAATCACACCTTGGAATATGTGGAGCTCATCAAGCTGGAATCAAGATGAGGTGGCTTCTTAGAAGGTATGGTTATTATTGGAAAGGTACATTGAACGACTGCATAGAGTTTATAAAGACTTATACTGCATATCAAGAACATAGCTTGGTCCAAAGAGTTCTAGCTATCAACATGCAGCCGGTAGTAAAAATATGTCCATTCAGAGGGTGGGCTTTGGACTTTATTGGAAAGTTGAGGCCACCATCTTCAGATGGCCATACTCATATTGTGGTGGCAATAGATTATTTCATAAAGTGGGTTGAGGCTATTCCATTAAATACTTATGAGCAATCAACAGTGATTGATTTTTATCAAGAAGCACATTATACATAGGTTTGGAATTCTAGAAACTCTCACCACTGACAAAGGCCTCTCCTTTGTTTGGAAACAAAGTTCTTGATTATTGTGCTGAGTGTGGTGTCCAAGTGATCAGTTCCACTCCATATTTTGCCCAATCAAATGGACAGGCAGAAGCTTCCAACAAAGTAATTTTCAATATCCTTGAAAAGATAATTGAGAATAACCCGAAGGAGTGGCATCACCTACTTTCTGAGGCTCTTTGGGCTTACAAAAATTCAAAGAGATCAAGTACGGGCATCACTCTATATATGCTTACATATGGATATGATGCCATTCTTCCAATGGAGATGACTATCAGGTCTGCAAGAGTGGCTTTCCAAAATAATTTAACTCCAGCAGATTACAACCATGCCATGTTGGTGGAATTGGAAGACCTTGATGAGGTCCGTGTCAATGCCTTAGACTATATTATTGCTCAAAAAAAGAAGGTCATGTGGGCGTACAACAAGAAGGTTAAGGCGTAGACATATGTGGAAGGAGACTTGGTATGGCTGGTCAAATTTCCACCTGGGGTTAAAAGTTTAGATTATGGAAAATGGACACCTAATTGGAAGGGTCCTTATTTGGTGGAACGAGTTCTTGGAAAAGGGGCTTATAGATTGATGGACATAGATGGAGGATCCCATAAGCATCCTATGAATGGGGTATACTTGAAAGAGTATCACCCTTCCGTCTTTGAAAATTGGAAATCCACAATCATTCAACCGGCCACATAGCTTGGCTGGTACCTTCCTTTCCAAGTAAACTGGAAAGCTGGAAAGGAAGTGTAATGGCCATACTTTAGCCATTTGTATAGCTGAGTCAGAATATATGAAGGATTCATCTCAAAGAAGAAAAACTAAGTACTTAAAAGGGTACATTGGCTAGAGCCTTGAAGAAGATTTAGCGATATTTCTAATAACAGATCATTTTCTAAGTATATAATATTTCATTGAGAAAGAGGTTACACTATATGTGTTGATGTTCTCTTGCAATAGCATGATATCATATAGGATAGCACTATGTAAAGAGGATGTCGAACCCACAGGGAGATGAAATTTTGTAATAGTCTTTAAATTAATTTCAAAGTTTACAGATAACTTGGTTGGAGTGTTTGTTGGTTGTCACGGTTTAACAAACTAGAATTAAACAAAATATTAAATAAAGGCAAAGTAAATAAATTGAGTGATTAGCGAGAAAGGAATCTTAGGGCTTTGACTTCACCACAACTATCATACTACAGTTAATTGTACTAACTCTGGGAATTTAACAATGATATTTTTCCAAATGAATTGAATTTAATACTATTCGTTCAATTCGGGTTTTAAAGAAAGATGTTTTACAAATTTAGCTAACTATAACCTATCTGCGGTTAGCATGGACAGTCCGCCTACCTACTTTAACTACTTTAACTATGTTACAAACAATCCACCTTTCCTAAGCATAGACTATGAAAACGTCCTTTTGCAAAATACATTGGAACACCATTATATGACCTCTAGTCTTTTGGTCGGTAGGGCTCTGCCGGATATCGTCCAATAAGGTAGGTTGAGAATAACAAACAAACTATTACATCTAAGACAAGGTAGTAACAGTTTATAAGCTATTAAAGCATAAAAACCACTTGAGTTGTCTTAAGTGCTTGTAGTCATATAATCAAGAAAAAAAAAAACATATATTAAAAATAATCCCAGAGTTAAAACAATCAAACTATAGTGTTAGGTTGGGTTACATCAGTGCCCTAAGAGAGGAATTAGCTACTCATAACAAGGTTGGATATCATCTGTGTTGAGTTCATCTCCATCGTCACGGACGGCACTTCTCTTCTCAGGATCTTCAATTCTAGGGTTGTAGGAACCCTAAAAGCCACCACACCTTTAGCCTTTTGAATAACACCGTAAGAGAGATTGAAATTTGGACCTCTTCTAACAAGGCTTACGCCTTCTTTTATAGAAGAAAATAAATATTTGGTGGGCTTTTAGGTCTTCTGGCCCAACTAGAATGAGATACGGCTGATAAAGAGAGCAATCCCGCAACTTTTAATCTGACATGTCATGGAAGACTCGAGCTTCAGGAACTGATGCTCGAGCTTTAGGGTTTATGCTCGAGCATAAGGAACAATGCTCTAGCTTCTTTGGATGGATGCTCGAGCTTTAATAAAAGGTGCTCGATCTTTATTTTGACACTTAGTCAATTTTCTTCAACTATTTTCCGAAGCATCTTTTTCTTCCACACTTAGAATTTTTTGGGGTTGAACTCTTTTAACATTGCTCGATCCAAGCTTCATAGGCTTGAGTACTAGGTACCATGCTCGAGCATCTAGGGCTCAAGGCTCGAGCATCAGTGGAAGATGCTCGATCCTTAGTAGATGGTGCTCAATCATAGAGGTGAGGCACGAGACCTGGGAGTATAGCCTTCAATTAAAATTAACTCATTAATTTTTGATGCCTCATGCTCGAGCTTGAGGGTCAATGCTCGAGCTCCCTTGGTTAAGGCTCGAGTACCCCTTGATAAGGCTCAAGCATCAAGGTACAATGCTCGAGCATTTGGGCCTTGTTGACTTTCCTTCTTCTTTTTGTTGTAATGCTCGAGCCTTAACACTTGGGCTCGAGCTCTAAGGCTTAAATTTCTTCAAACTTCACCATTTACACTCTCGACTTGCTCTGAATGACCGACAACGACTCTATAAGATTCGATATCATTATAAAGTCCTAGTTTTAACCATTTTTCTGGGAAAGTACCTACAAACACACATTAAACATTAATTAGGCTAATTACGGATAGAAGTATCACTTTAGGCCTTAACATATACGTATTTAGGGGCTCGAATATGCATATATTTAGTGCTCATCAACATGGTCCAGGTTTTATTTATCTTGGAAATGGCTGATATTATTGTATATACACGTTTTTCCTTGTTAGCAAGTTCTTTCATTTTTCTGAATTCCTTTGTTTTGGAAAGTCATTTTATGACTAGGCCTCATTGTTAATATATGGGAAGGAAATTTTCCAGTTTCAATGATTTAAAAATTTTCCATGCAAGAGGCACAAACAAAAGGATTGAGAAATAACCACCATTCTCATTAGATCCATGACTTCACTACATGTTCCAAAAATGACCACTAACTCTAAAAGCTGGCCATACAAAAGATTCCAAGAGTAATTTACTTATTCACTAAAAAGCAACCACTTAAGATACTATAAGAGAACCATATCAAATGGCAGCAAGGACACCTCCAAGTGCCATCCAAATTTTCCTTTCTTCTTCAAGAGTAGCCAGTGCTTTGTTCTTTGTTTCTTCAAGTTGGGGAAATTCATTTACTATACTTTCCCATTCTTTCCTATGAGGCTCTGATTCAGCAAGAATGGCACTAGCAGTTTGGTCCAATTCAAGCTCATCACATTCCACTTATTCCAGTTCTTTCTGAATTTTGCTTAGCTCCTCAGTCAATGTGTTTTTCTTGGCTGCAAGTTCCTCAACCCGTGCCTTGATCTCTGCGTAGGGTGCTAAAGCTAGATGAAAACTTTCAAAGGCTTTGTCCCTAATTTTAGCCTTTCTTTCATATTCTGAGAAAGAGGAAGAACTGGAATTCACCTGGGAAACAAGAAAATGAAGTTGACGCTGCAATTTGGTCAAAGCAGTTTGAATGTAATCAAGAAATCCAGGGTGTTTCTTCAGAATGACTATAGTACTGGCCAAGTCTAGATGGAAGGTCACAATTTTTTCCACATCATGAGCAAGATAGGACAACAATTTTCTTTTGGCTGAGGTGAGAGGATATTCCAAAGGATCCAGAAGTATAAGTACATTGGCACTTAAAGTTAAGGTACTTCAAGATTGAATGGCTTTGATCACTTTGTATAGATCGGCCAACGTTGGAAGAGCTCCTCTATGCATCGTGAAAGATGCTGATGTGGACAAAGAGGGAGTAGCCTGAAGAAAAGAAAAGTTTTGTTTATTGCGCAAGAAGTAAGAAATGAGGTGAAGTTTAAAAGCATAAAGACTTGCCTTTAGGATGAAAGAAAGAGGGCCGGTAGAAGTTCCACCAGTACCAGAAGGAATGGATGTTCTAATAATGGAAGTTGGAACGGGTAAAGTTTTTCCACTCTAGTCAGCCAGACTTTCCATAATAGAGGCTTGAGGGTCTAAGTCCTCTCCATGGGCAACTTGTACATCTGACTGAATGTTGGAAGAACCCTATAAGACGAGTATAAAAGGAAATTATGGATACTTCAAGAAATTAAAAGGGTAAAGAAGATAATGAACGAGGCTTACCAAAATGATCTCCTTGGTTGGTTTTAACTTTTTAGTCTTTGGGCTGTTGGAACTCCTTGGTTTTTCCCAAGTCAATTTTCCTTTTTACCTTTCCGATAACTTTTCCAGAGGAACTCCACTTGGTGAGTTTTTTGCTAGAATGTTGAGTATGAGCTTGTCCTTTGGAGATGCCATCATCATTAGAAGAGTCTTCATTAGGGGAAGAAAGTTGGGGTTGAAATTCTTTATTCACAATAGCCAGTCCCTACAAAAAGAAGATATTAGAGAATTCAGAAATTGGAAAAGTTAAGTTTATTTTGGAAATACCTGAGAGATCTTTTCTTTTCCTTTTGCCTTGTACAAAACATCTTCTTCTTCTTCCTCCACTTTAATTTCTTTCTTCATCTTCATTAGAGGAAATACTTTCATGACTCACATCACCACTTTCAGCTATACCCTCAACCTTGCTGGGTAAGACAACAGTTTTTTCTCCACCCTTATTGTCATCACTTTCCTTAGGAATTTCTTCTTCTCCATCTGGAATTCAACATTTCAAATTTCAGAATATAGAAGGTTGACAGCAATATAAAAGGAAAGAGAAAGTTTTGGAATGAAGTATATTTATACTTGAAGACGAGGGTTTGAAGGAAGCTAGAATAGTGTCACAAATGGCCTTATGGTTCTTTGTCCGAGTGAAAGAAATATAAGCCGTCCATAATACAGTAAACTCATTAGAAGACTGAGGCTTGCTAGTATGGCATTGAAATTTAAAAGCCAACCATTCCATTTCATAAGCTTTATCAATCATAGCAAATTTGGCAACATCTGTGATCCTCACTCTTTGATCGAAGTACCTATTCTGAGATTTATATGGCGGTAAGGGAATGAGTTGGGTGAATCCCATTTACCTGGCCAGTTGAGCCGGATTGTAGAATTCAACACCACAAAAGTTGTTCATTAGATTAGGATTGGCTGTACTGTAATGAAGGTCCCGAGTAAGTTGAAAGCTTGCCCAAATATTCTTCCATTCTCCAGTATGTTTTTTGGTGGAAACTCCCGGAGAAGGGACTAACCATGATGGCATGCGGCCAAGGAAAGTAAATGGATCGAAGAGCTTGTCATCTACAGTTTCACATTGGTTATAAAAGTATTCCAAGTTTTTAGCAAATCTAAAAGTAGAAGGGGATGTTATTGCCAAGGGGTAGCACAGAAGGGTTTTTCCAATTTGCA